AATGCGGAAAAGCTCTACCTCCTTTAGTGGACTTTGCTATCCTAGGTACTACCAAAAGTCCAGAGTTTTGCGACCTTAGGGAGCGTGATGGATTGTAGCGTGATGGATATACATGTTAATTTAATAAAAAGTAAGTGATCACTTGGTCTAGATTTTTTTTCAACTGCTTAAATTTGCACTAAACATTTTGAATTTACTTTGTAACAATAGCTTCTATCTAAATTGTTTTTGTTGTTTTTTTTATTATTTAAAAGCAAATGCAAACATATCGAGATATATATTGAATATTGTAAAAATTGACAATATCGAGAGATAATTTGTTTTTATATATCGCCCAGCCCTACGGAGGAGACGAATTGTTGAATAAAGTCTTTTTTTTTTTTTTTTAGGTTTTGCGGGTTTGAAACGACATGAGGGTGAGATGGGTGAACTAACCCTTTAAGAATAATAATATCTTATTTGTAATAACCTGACCTATTGCAGACTCGGCTGAAATGAAAAACTGACCTAAACCTAATTTTAATATTTGTCGGATCCTGTCAAACATAGGCTTGGTGGCAGACCTCTACTTGTTGAACACTAATTGTAGGGTTGAAAAACAAGCTGTGTTGCCTGTGACAGGCTCTTTCGCAACCACTCACTGTTAGAGAATATCTAGTGTTTTAATGATTGGTCATTTCTGCTACGCATATGCCTTGAGTAATATTGTTCTTATGCAACTCTCATGCAGAAGATGCAGCTTATTTAAACTTACGGGGAAATTTTATTTTAGTTCGGACTGTTCACAGCCTCTGTAAGGAACTGGTTAAAAGCTTGTTATTCGTTCTTAAAATGTGAAATGGAGGGAGAAGGAAGCATTGGCACTGAAACAATCTGACTATTTAAGAATCATCCAGAATTTTACCAGTATATAAGATATAGCCACACAAGCAGAAAAAAAATATTTCCTTTTGTACTATTTATACATATTTATATTTATGTGAATTTGTAACCTAAGAAAGTTCCTCATATGTCTGTGCTATAGGTGTTGCTTAGATAAAAGAACAACAATAATGGGAGAAGTTTAGACTTTAGGAGACGTTAGAAGAATTGTAGGCTAATGTTTCTGCTAAGATCTTGTTCAGTGTTTCTTGTTCACTTGTATTCAGATTGTGAAGGGATTATTACAGTGAAGCCGACTACACTTTAATGAATATCTTATTTACATTGTGTCTACACTTTGCAAACGTGCAGAACTCGGTAAGCTTCAGTGAAATAAATGTCTTTGAATGGCCATAATTTTCATGCACTCAACAAACATGTCTGTGATTGACTACAGTGTCAACACTTTTCAAGATCAGGGAATCACAGCAAGTGTAGTCTCAATCACAATTATTTTCCAATTGTTTGTGCAGCCCTACAATGAAGTGACTCAAAATGCATAGAAGTAGCACTTATGTGTATGAGATCAGTTACCCTAATAAACTGTGATTACTGACAAATATTTGCCAACTGAATGCCAGAGAAGAGTCCTGTAAATATATAATATATTAGCAAAGCAAATAACTGCACATTTAGCAAGAATTCACGTTAAACATATTTAGCTAGCTTGATAGAGAAGGATCACTCAAATCAGAAAGAATGTGAAGGCTATGTTGACGGCAATGGACATAGCGGGAAGTTATAGGGTAGTTATTAAGGAATTTGTTTGTTCCCTCTTGATACTGAATATTTTCAGGTGAAATCATGATTTAAACAGTTACAACACTTATTCACACGCAATCGATGCATTCAAACAAATGTCATCTTAAACAGTGCTACTTTATC